GTTTTGCATAATCCTGCTACCAAACAAACAAATGGACAGGGGCGAGCACATATCCTCCTGGCGGATATAAAACAGGCTTGAACTTTTATTTCAGGGGGGGGGGGGGGGGCGGAAGTTGTTTTGTTATGTTGTTGCATCTATTTAAAAAAATACACCACACCGACCTAACAAAGGGAAGTTTTTATTCCCATGCTTCAGAGAGTCTCACAGGGGCACGTCAAAACGCTTTCTGTGCTGCTGAGATAAAGGCTCTCAGCGTACTTGTGGGAATAGAGGCCATGCTGCTTCCAGTACCCTTCTGACAGTCTGAGGGTCCTCCCCTGTGTCTCCCACTGACTAATTTTCCTTTCTCAAGCTCTCCCTCTCTTTCTGCCCCTCTCCCCTTCTCCAGGGTCTCTTACTCCTTGCTTGTACAAGTTTCCAGATCACAGTCTGAGTAGCGGCTCTTGCGCATTAAGCCACGGTTTCTCTTCGCTGCCCTCGGCTATCCTCTCGACTGATGAGGTCCCTGGGGGCCTCACTGTCGGAGAGATGAAAACTGACGCCCAGAGGAAGAGCATGCGGGACCAGGAAGATACCCCTGCCATGGACTCCCCGCAGATACGAGAGCTGGAGATGTTTGCCAATGACTTCAAGATACGGAGGATCAAACTGGGTATGACTCCTGGGCAGCTTGAAACCATGTTTGACTGCAACAATTAGATGTCTCACCACATGCGTCTGTGTTTGCACCCACCTATAGCTGCTTGTCGACCCAATGCATACAATAAAGTTTTTCCTTTTTTTCCCATTTTGACCTCCAGGCTACACCCAGACTAATGTAGGCGAGGCGCTCGCTGCTGTGCACGGCTCAGAGTTCAGCCAGACCACGATCTGCCGCTTTGAAAATTTGCAGCTGAGCTTTAAGAACGCTTGCAAACTCAAGGCCATCCTGGCAAAATGGCTGAATGAAGCGGAGCTGGCTGGTGGTGAGTCACACATGTATCCACACTCACGCTCCATCAGGGAAAGTATTTATTTAAATGTAACCTTTAGCTCTCTGGTCTCTATAGGCAAAACAAGTGCTTTTGATTACTCTGAAAGGATCTGTAAGAAAAACCTTTCCTTGCATGATTATTAAGATTTATGAGCGGTTTGTTCTTCATGTAAGTCAGCTGTTCATCTTCTTGCCCTATGACTCTTTTAAGATGAACTAATATCTATCATTAAACTCTAAGCAGTGGCGGATCTTGGATTTTTCTAAATCGAGGGGCCACAATTTACAGAGGGGCAAATTATATCCAATGCCCATGAACAATTCCTGATTCAGTTAGGTGCACATTTAAGTCATTTCTTGTATATATAAGCTCTATAGCTTTGATTCAAAGGGGGATGCAGTTTGTTCACGTGAATGTTAGGAATTCTGTCTTCAGGTTTCAGGGGGTCATTCTCAAACACCACTGAAGGTTAAGAGGGCATTTCTTTTTGTCACAGTGGGTCATAATGGTTTACAGACAGGGGCACTTCAGGGGCCAATCAGATTTTAGAATTTCACAAAGAAAAAGCAAATGTATGGAAAACTTTTACAAGTGTACATCACGTTTTATAGTGGAAGTTGTCACACGTCTCGTAGAGCAGGGTCACATGACAGAGCATCTGAGATTGATATCTGGTTTAAAGGTCACAGGGAACTCACAGTTAGTCTTTTGTTACAGCCAGACAGGTGATTGGAGAGAAATTAAAAAGGCCCAGTGCGTTAGATTAGATTAAGTCAATAACAGTCAGTTAATCACTTGTATCTTTTTTCCCATCCTCACTCACAGCTACAATGAAGTAACAACATATTTCCTTCCTTGCAGCCTTGTACAACGATAAAATAGGGATGAATGAGCGAAAGAGAAAACGGAGAACTACTATCAGGTATCTAATGTAAGGACCAAACATACAGAGCATATATATGTAGATTTCTACATGTTTATTCTCAGTGTTCTGCTGTCCCTCCACACCACAGCCTGGGAGCTAAGGAGGCTCTGGAGCACAGCTTCGTGGAGAAGAGTAAACCGTCCTCTCAGGAAATAGCACGGATCGCCAAAGGCCTCCACCTGGAGAAGGAGGTGGTCCGGGTCTGGTTCTGCAACCGACGCCAGCGAGAGAAACGGGTGAAGACGAGCCTGAACCTCAGCTCCTGTTTGTCCAAGATCAGCCCAAACTGCATCTCACAGATGAGTAAAGCACAGAGGCCGATGACATAGTTTGATGTTCGGATGGAGAGCGAGTGTTCCACTGACGGTCGGTGTCTGACAATCCAGCGTGAAGAGGGTGAAGGTTAATAAACAGCAAACAGAGAGGTCTAATAATAAAAACTGCACAGTAAACAGCTGCTGACACTTGAAACGGATTCGCTGATTTGACATTCAGATGAAAAATGATCCCCTGCAACAGTGAGGCTGACAAAATAAATAAAAAGCTTCAGCACAACTTTGCTATAAATCCACAAATCAACATCAGCAGCAAATGTCTGTTGAGTTTGTAAAGACTTTCTTTATCGCAGTTACTTTCATGTCATTTAAAGTTGTTTTCCTTCTTTATTACGAGAACAGAATTTTTTTCCTAGGCGTTGCTTTACCTCCGTATTACAACGGAGTAGCAGGGTCACTTAGAGGACAAACAACTATTCAAATTTCTCGTAAAAATCGTAAAATTACAAGAACGTAATTTTTGGCAATGTCATTTAACAAGGGGAATATCAGAGGATCTCTCAAGAAGAGTCTGGTTCAAGTTTGGGATTTTCTCCTTGCTGCTTAATTTCTAGAAAATATAGTTTTTTCTTCTTTAAATATCCAGTTTTTCGAATTAAATTACGACTTTTTTTCATAATATTACAACTTTACTCTTGTGATAAAATGAATTTGTAACTTTATTTTTAATTGAATGTCTTTCCTTTAAATATTATGGCTTTTCTCATTAAATTATGACTTCATTCTTGTAATATTATGACCGTAATTTCCAGGCTAATTTCTTTTCTTGACCATTGCCTCAACACCCTGTCGTATCTTCCTTCTTTATTACTAGAATAGTCATTCTTCTTACCTCCATATTAAGTTGAAGCTGTGAAGAAAAGACATTTATTCAATAAGGTAATTTGAGCTGCAGCTTCCAGTCGTGACTTTCAAACAAACCTTGACTGTGCCTTGTTTGTAATATTTATACTGAAACTACTGTATATCAACCACAGACACCAAATAATAATTAATTGGCATCAGGTTGCAGATCGATCAATTACTCTGATCGATCAGCCCTGTGCCTTTTCTGAAAAACAGACTTCAGAAATCCTGTGCTTGAACTTTACAGAAGTAAAAATGTATTGATGATGATTTCTATATTTGTGCTGTAGTTGTTTGTTTGTATATTTGTGATTACAGCTGACGTCTCTGTCTTTTTTAATTATCTGTCAGTGTCTTATGATAAATGTTTGACGATTTATTTAAAATGAATGTAGCCATAGTCAAAAAAGTAATATATGTAAACTTTCACAACAACCTATTTATTTGAGATCTAATATATCATGTTGATCCACTTACAACCTTTTTGATTTATGCTCTGAAGTCAAGACTGTGGTGAAACTTTTTGACATTTTTTTTTTGTCTCTCCATTTCCCTGCTGTGAGATAGATTCAATATTCTGCTCTTTTTGTTCTCACTTCCATGACGGAGTGTCACACAGAGAGGAGCGGCAGCCTGTCACCACTCCAGCCTGGTTGGGATGACTAATGTGAAACTTTTCAGACTCAGGAAGCATTGATCGATGTCTGGAAGAGCTAAAGAATGAAAATATACATCATGTAAGAAATGTCAGGTGGATATTAAGGGACTTTAATTCACCTCTATTGAAAATATAAATGAGCCCAAAGACGTCCCTGGTTAAAATTTGCACTTGTATGAAGTTTGATTGTCTCTCGGCTCCAAGACACTGAAAGCTAAATCAGCTTAATTCCTCTCTGCAAATCAATAAACTCAGTTTTATGATGAACCACACGTGCCAACTCTCATTTGTAATGATGTTGTTATATTACAGTATGAATGCATACATGAGTAGAGAGAGAGCGTACCGTATGAGCTGTACAATTCATGGGGGTGTCACTGGGGATTCATGAATAAAGTCAGACGACACCTCAATTCAGAAACAAGCAGTTTCGCTGTGTGATTAATACGTCACCGTCTAACCGGAGTGTTGTCAGGGGAAATAAATGCAGCGGGGGCATCGATTGCTGCCACATGTCTGAGGCTGCAGAGGAAAGTTATATTACAGTGTGCTGACGAAGAGGATGGAGACACAGAGCTTTAATACTATTTTAATACTTCAATTCTCCACTCTTCTTGTGTTTTCACACAACATTGTCATTGTTAAAGCTTTCAGATGGAAACAACTCATCACACTTTGTCATGCTGTTCGTGGTTCAATAAGGGGATTGTCGGGCCTTGGCGGAGGTTTGCTTTCTACTGAGTGCCATTCTAGTTTTCCATTTTACTACAAATAACAGTTTATACTATGTTGTTCATTTTTATATATTTGGGTGTTGTTCCTATCATTCGAACAATCTGTCGACTTATGTGTATTTCTGCACCGTATATTTTTTTTAAATCTGCACTGGTTTACTCAAATGCCACTTTAACAAAAATGATTGCGGTCCGCTGGTTATTTGGAAATGAAATCCTTGGCTGTCTGGGATTGAAGGGTACATGATTATATATGAAGTTGCAGAACTGGCAAAAAAACACTGGTACTGCCCATTAAAGGGTAAACTCATACAGAAGAGGCTGAAAACGAAAATGGTACAATCAACAAATGGTACCTGGAGAAACTTAACATCTCATTAGGATTTAGAAATCACAGCTTTCAGTGACAGTGCTGGTGTTTCTTTTTTTGCATTTGTGTGTTTTCCTGTCATTCCAACTTGTTTTTCTGCATAATGTAAAAATCTATTAATAGACTCTTCATTCATTGGAAACTGATTTTTTTTAGTTTAGGGTTTTTTAGTTATAGTATAGATATAAAAATGAAAATAAACTAAAATATCTGAAAGAATTTCGACCATGCATGTATAATTTGTAGTTATGTAGTTAACAATAAATAACTGGTACTGACCTTTAAAGGGTAAACTAAAATGAGAGGCTCAAAAGACAAATACTATAAACAAATAGTACCTGAAGAAACTTTATTCCTTATAAAAGCCATAAACCCTTTACAGAGTCTCTTTACAATGACAAAGAAGGAAACAGAGATGAGTATACAAACAGTACATGTGGTGTTTTGAAACTGCACTCAAAATCTGTTCAAACAGTTTCCACTCATAACCACAGAAGACTATAGGAAGGTAGAGGAGGAGAATGATTTACAAAAACAAGTAGTGACTTGAACATGTTGGATTCATGCAAGAATGAACACATTTTTGTATTTGTTTTGGCAATGAGAGAGAGACAACGTAAATATGAGGTGTCTTTATCACTCAAAGCCTGAAGCTGAAATTAAATCAGTTTATAGAGGAATCTGCTTTAGCTCTAAAGAGGAGAAAACGTCTCTTGGATCACAGTGTACATAATTGTGTGTGTGTGTGTGTGTGTGTGTGTGTGTGTGTGTGTGTGTGTGTGTGTGTGTGACTGAGGCAGCTTCAAATAACAAATGACACTAACTGCACAGCAGCTGAAAGAGATGAGCGACTGCAGGACCAGTGCCATCCTACAATCACTGTGTAAATCCCAAGTCCAATATAAGATACACAATCAGACACCAAGCATCAACCGAGAAGCCAAAAAGAAAAAAAAACGTGATTACTCAGTAGCATCAAACAACTGATTCAAAACTCTTTGATATGCAAGTTTTTCATTAGATCAAATTTGTGTTTGCTTAAGTTTTGTCTCACAATCTGTACAACATTGCAACTTCAGCGGCGCTAATTAGATGCTAGCCAGTTTGCCATCAGATCAATCTGTCTCATCATCTTATGCAAATAAGGTGTTATCATCGCCTGAAGGCATCAGTGTCTGTCACACGCTTCACGTGAACATCTGTCATATGCATAGATTTAAATAAACAATTATGTAGTTGACCAGTTTGTTTTCTTTACATGGAGACAGTATGCCCAACTTAGATAACCCAGCATGAAAATAACAGTCTTTAGACCCTCAAAATAACTTAGTTAGCAGGTAATTGGGGAAATCTGGGGATTTGCTTATTGAACCATCTTTTAATCACCATACACCATCCATCTAATCATGTAGAAACTGATATCTGACTAACTCAAGTTCGACCAAGATGTCAAATGGAAAAAGCTAAATATTAAGCATATAGACTGTAGCCCTTTACAAAAGACAGAGGTGGCAAACAACAGTGTGGGTGGTTCTTCAGGTCAAGCATCTATTATTAGTCCACCTTCAGAACGAGGCCAGTTGGATGTCAGAATAAATATAATTTTAAATAGATCAGATATTCTGCCTTCATGATCTGTAAGGCAACCTGTCGAAGAATGTGAGAATATGTTTGTGTGTGTGTGTTAGTGTGCGCCCTCTGTTACACCTGTACCATTTAAATCATGACAAAACCAATATGTCTGACAGTCTGTATCCATCTGTGTTAATGTTGCACAGGTTTATGATGTGAACATTAAAACAAAGACAACGATTAGTCCACTCCCAGGGCTCGGAGCTGTCGCTCGATCTCGTCGTCAGAGATGGTGGCTTGTTTGGCAGAGGCGGCGCTGGGGAGGCTCTTTCCTGCAGCTGGAGCTCTCACCATCTGGAAAACGCACAGGGGCAAAAAAACAGACACTCAAAGTTATTACACACAGTATCACAAAGGCTGGTGCTTGTTTTAAGTTTAGGCTGCTGTGTACAGCAGTTTATTTTATCTTCTTTTATTTTCCCAGACCTCAATTTAATCTTAATTAACCTCTACTTTAAAAGAGGTTTGTTAGTTAATAGTCAAATATTTTCAAAAGGATGTAATTAAATTCAAATTATAATAAATGACCTTTGAATCAGCTAAAAAAAAAACTGGAGATGTTTCTCTGCGTTTGTCCTTTTCTACACTTAAAAACATGATATACTGAAGGATTATGAAAAAAATATGACCAAATTACAGACTTTAATTCCTTCCCTAAAAAATCATAACAGCAAATACTCCCGAGCTGTATTAAAGACTAAATAGTGCCATTATACACAATGGTGTTTATTATGTTTAAAGTAAAGATAAAGACCATTTAGTCATCTTGACATATGCTCAACACATGGTTACTTATTTGCTGATGCTAGTTTCTTCCAAACTACTTCAGTTTATGGGTCTTGAAACTTCTGTCTCGCTTCAGGGTTGGTTGAGAAAACCTTTAGTCTCTTGTTTTTCTTAGAAAGAACATGATCTGCTCAGTATTTTATTGAGATTTAGCAGGAAATGATCAAACCCCTTCCCCCTCGCTCCCCAAAAGCAAAAAAACAGTTTAACAGGTTTTTCTTGAAACCTGCCCGTTTGTTCACTCCAGCTGTGTGGGCTCCTTTTATTGCACAATTTGTGGGTTTGTGTTGTGTTTTGAGAGGTAATAACTCATGGAGACCCCAGGGGGAGCCAGACACACAACAGATGGCAGGCCTGGCAGTTTACAAGGACTGCAGTGCTCAGAGCTAAAGAAGCTGAAGGCTATAGCCCCACCATGTGGCAGCTGTAATACAATAACACTCAGTAAAAGACTTCATGTTGCTACACTCCATTAACACATGTTACACGTGTAATAAAATGCTATATAATAAAATGCTTCTCACTTTAACGCTGCTCACTATTGACTGTGTGCTTTAAACTATTTTCTAAATGAGTAGTATTAATTAATTAGTAGAGTATTAAGGCCATATGAGGTCAGTGGTAGTTTGTGTCTCTCATTTTGAATTTCTTACCTTTCCTGAGATCTCAATGCCGATCTCATCCAGAACCTGGTTGACAATGTCCTGAGATTCTTCCTCATCCCCAGATCCATCAAAGATCTCATCCAAAGTGTCGTTGACTGGACAGAAGGAGGAGGGAAAAGATGAGGACAGACATGTCAATTAAATGCAAGTCAGACACATTGATTTTCAGGCACTGGCTGGACTTTAGAGTGAGATAGTTGTTGACAAGTTTACATTCAAACCTGCACATAGGGCTGTGTGATATGATCAAAATCTCATATCCAGATAACAATAGATACCGGTACTTGTAACTACTGTTTCTCAACAGTGTAAACCAGCACCATGTCTTTGCAGATGTAAGCTGCAACAGACGCTGTTATCTCCCATCTTAATGATTCTTTGCCATATGGTGAGCCATGGGCAAAGGCCTCTGTCCAAAACTCCAGAACGTCTGAGTCTGGAGTTTGTTTTGAGCTCTCCACTGTTCTTCTGTGCCTCATCTGTAGACCCTCTGTGCTGTTTCACATGATTCTGGTGTAGGTGGTAAAAGACGTTAGATGATGTTTTTCTATCACCATCTAATAGACATATATATCATCATATTGCATTAGTACATATACATGTATGTATTTGTGGATGCTCATGTGTGGGCACTTAAACTTCAAATTTAAAAGCTGTTGTATCTTTAAAACCTATAGTTTTATATTTCTCTTTACCTAACAAACACAAATTGAAACATGTGCCTCTCGTCGCATTCATCATCACCCTAACAAGTTTTGGAAAGCTCCTAGATACTACAACTCTTTGTGTCTGTCATGTGTGTATAATGAATCCTTACTCATGTCCTCCGTCATCCCCATCTTCATGTTCTCCTTCTGGAAATCCTGCATAGTCTGAAGGGTCTTCTGGGGATCCATCTTTTTATTCACTGCTTGCATTGTCTGTTCACATGATAAAAGAAGGTTAGAGAATGAATCAATAAAGAACTGTTGAAGAGATTTTGCAAGTGAGTAAAACCTCAGAGGGTTCTCAACTGGGTGTATGAAACACAAGACAGTGCAACAGTCTTTGCTCTCCATCATAGGAGTGTGATGATATTTTTGAAAAATGGTTGTCTACTAAAAAGTCTGGATACCCGACACGAGGGGAAGTGACGGGTCGCACTGTGTTTTGAAAAATTTGGAAATGATGCTCAGGTTGGGTTTGGTTAAGTTTGTTGGCCTATCGAATTGTTTCTGTTTTACACAGCATGTACTTGTAATCAGGGAAAACATCGGGCTTGGATCGGGTTTTGACACAAAAAACAGAACGCCTGGTCAGGTTCGGGTCAGGCTCAGTAAGTTTTCTGTTCAACTCGGACAGAGAATTTTGGCGCGAGCTATACTCTGATCCACTAATTGATTTGATCCCTGGCTCCTCCAGCCCACATTTCCCCTGATGGCTCTGCCATTAGTGTATAAATGTGAGGTATGAGTAGAGAAGATCTATTTACAGAAGCACTATATGAATGTGTATTTGTTTGAGTGTGTTGCAGTGTAAAGCACTTGTGAGTGAAACATTAAGACATATAAAATGCAGTCCATATAAAATTAAGGGAAGTTGAAATTCTTTACTGATGTATAGTTTATAATTTGTTGAGAACAAAATTACGTAACAACGGTCAATGGAAACCAAATCATCAAACCATTGAGGGCTGGATTCAAAACCACACTGACAATCAAAGTTAAAAATTGAAATCACAGGCTGATCCAACTTGCACAAATTTCATCACAGCAACTCATCATGTGACTCAGTAGTGTGTATGGCCTCCACTGACTGGGTGTTATACTGTGACTTCCAGATTCTGCATGTCTCACAAATAAGTACAATATTAGCTCTTTTGAAAAAGGGCTCTATAAAAACTACTCTGCATATATTGGCACATTGAGATATTAGAAATACTACAACAACTCAGACTCACTCACAAACTATGCATCGTCTTCCCTCCTGTAAAGATCAGCACAAACATGTCCTAGTTTCACCTCTGAGCCAGACACATAGGATACATGTCCCCGTCTCCTCTTTTCTGTTGTTGTGCAAATCATGCTAACACACAGAGCTTCCTGTGCGGAATGTGGAAAATGCTGCACTATCCACTGAAAATAACTGAATGGATGCTGCCGTTCTTTCCTAAGAAAAGCACATTCATCAGTATATTAACAAATATCACAAATGTCTGACATTGAACAATTAACACATTGTCTCTCTCACAAATACACACGCCTGATCACACCCCATTAAACTGATGCCTAATTATATTTGACCTGTATGTGTTTGCTAAGTCTGACTGTACAGTAACATCGCTCGAGGCCAATTACTACCTTTCACACTTCATTAGCAACACTGTTACAGGACTCACAGAACAGACCCCACATTAATACTTTAATTACAACACTGAAATATTGATATGAGTAAACACGGAAACTAGTTAATGTTCAAAAGTGAAACACACTTAATTTGTGAAGTAAATATTATTAACGTCAAATTTAGAGATAGCCATTTCAGTATGAATCAAAGTTTTAATTAATATATCTAATAGTAAGAGTTTTGGTAAGCAAGATTAATAATCACCAAAGAAGTAAACTCAGCAGGTTGTTTGATTTCATGTTAATGATTATTACTTCTTATATTAATGCAGCCTTTACTTCCTACACACTGGTGTAAACTCAACACGTATTGAATATTTTAAAACCTTAGCTAAATAGGGTCTAAAATTTGTACCTTGGCTGTGGTGGACATGGCACCGGCCATCTTCATTTGAGAGTTCATGACCTTCGTCTGCGTTGTCATGGAGGTGACCTTAGAGCTGACGGCGTACGTTCGGTTTTTCTGCTTCCTTAGCTGGACGAGCTGCTTGGCGAGGATCTTACACGCCTCCCTGTTCCCACTCTTTGCCATTTTCTTGATCTCTGCCTCCTGGAGTAGGAAAAATTAGGATGTGAGCAGTACGTACATTTTCCTTACACATTATGCCTCAATTTTCCCTGCTTACAAACAATTTTAGGAATGTATAGGTGAACATTTTGCAAATAAGTGAGACTATGCACAAACTGTGAATAAAACATTTTAAGAATGGAGATCATTTAGTGTGTCAGAAAATAAGAGAGGTTCAGATGCGACTAATTGAAAATATCTTTTGTTATTGGGAACAAATCCACTGAGGCTATTAAGGGAAATGAGTCTCCTGGTTTCATGGGTAAGTGAGTAATCTGCCAATCAGCCATTTTGAGATAATGTTTATGTGTACACACAAGTAAATTAGGAACAATAGTGGATTAAGGACTAACCCCACAGGGATGTCGAAGTGCAGATGTAAAGTAATGTGAAAGAATTCTTTGATGTCAACAATTTTCCACCGTTTTCACCCAAATGACACGCTGAGACTTTGGAGAAATTGAATGGATGAAGGACGGAGCTTTTTTACACATTCATTACTGGGCAGAGAAGCTTCTATTTTTAGAAACGTATCAATCCATACTGACTCGCGTCTTCTTCCTACACACTTAAAATGTTTTTTTGTCCACACATCAATCAGAAGGTCTTCCTCTTATACATTAGAAACACAGAAATAAGTAAGCATGCACACACACTATATCTGCAATATTCCCTCAAGACTAATGTGTTTGCAAACATAGACAAAGTAAACACAGTTGTCCGGATCAAATGTTACTCACTTGCGAGCAAATACAAGCTTTTAGCTTAAGTAAACATAAGAACACACACTAATGCCCACAAGGATCCCATGTGTGGGCATGAATTTGTGCAATCATCCCAAGAGAAAAAGAATGGAGCTCCAGGTTACAGTAAGTTAGCCAGGCCTCTGAGCACCGCTTCATACAGCTCCAGCATGTTTTGCTTATTTCTCTTTAGCGTGTGTGTGCGCTGAAAGCATCCTTTTTAACAAATGACAATTAATTATTAATGTCTGATACTGCAAAAGCAATAGACATTCTGGCTCTCTTGCACCGACATCCACGCACACACACAAACACACACTCAGGTGTGTGCACAGAATAGGTGCATTAGTCTCAGTCTGTATTTAGCTGCTTGCAGAGAGAAAAAAAATCTGATTAATGCTACGGAGAGAAAAACTTTGAGCTGTGTGAGAAAAAACACACACTGACAATAATACTGTCAACGGAAAATGCATTATGAATGCATTAGTAAGAAAAAGGCAGAGATGAGAGCAGTGGGACTGCTGCTGATGTGAAGCTTATGATGCCTTATTTACTCCCCCGTCAGAGGAGGGGGGAGGAGGTGGAGATAAATGATGGATAGAGAGTGCTCTCCGAGACATGTAGGAATGCAGCAAACAACTGGATGGCTGTTAGGCTTTGCCTGGTAGTAACACGGAAACCAAAAAAAGGGTCAAAATGCTGATGATTACTCTGAACACATCTTTTCACTCCGTCATTTTGTTTGAAAGCAAGATTACACAAAACTACTGAATAGATTTCCACGAAACTTGGTGAAAGGATGCAGTATGGATTAGGGAAGAACCCATTATATACTCAAGAATTGTTTTCACAATATTCACACTGTTTTTCCCAGAGAACAATTAATCGATCTAGATGAAAATATGATCATAAATATTTAGAGAACTGATAACAACAAGTGTGTGTAATTCAGTGCAGCTTGATTGTATTTAAGGGGACTGTTGGGCTTTGGCAGACAAGTTTTTAATATATTTTCTGCACATTCTTAAATTTACCAAAAATCACTTACACAACAACAATAAAGAAAACAAACTAATTGTTGAGCATCATTAAGTAATTAAACACATGCAGAGGAAATGTACATTTAAATTCAATCATAGATTTTAAACATTTTGCTTGGTTAGAAAAGTGCATGAAATGTAGACATTCAAGACATACCTGCTTCTTTTTTCTTTTCCACTTAGTTCCTAATTTAGTAAATCCTATTGAAAAGAAAATAACCCTGACTATAGAAATACTTAGATCCTCTGGGATAATCTCTGCTCCATGTCATTATTATACTGTATATGCATGTGAATGTGTGTGCGTGTACGTGGGCATGAGCTCACTGAAAGCGTGCATGGCTGGGGGTCAATAGTCAGTCATGATTGTGCTAAACTGCAAATACACAGCAGGTCATTTCCATTTCCTAGCAAAATTATCTTTTATTCACAACGTGCAAAAAAGCTTAGAAAAAATAGACTAATTAGCAGAGAGTATTAATGAGGAATAAAAAATGTGGTTCCCCAGGGAGGTAATTATGTCCTGTATGATATTTACTTATTACAACAGAGGGGAGAGGACACTGCTAGTTTCTTTCATCTTTCAGATAAGGGAAATGTGTGCGTCTGCGAATAAAGCCTTATCGTGTGACAGCGTATAAGTGCATGTGTGTGGGAGAGGGAGGTCTTACTTGCCTGAAGCAAAGCCCCTGCCCCTGCACCAGTTTTATCTTGTATTTTCATTTACACCCATTAGCCAATCCGGTTCCATTGCAGATTGGAGGAAATGGATGTAGCGCATGTGTGTCAGGAGAGCAGAGCACTTTTAATAAAGAGTTGACGCAATATGTAGAAATATATGGAAGATAACTCTCTGTTTGTGTGTGTGTGTGTGTGTGTGTGTGTGTGTGTGTGTGAGGGGATATGCTACCTCTGGGCACAATTTTTCATACTAACTACCAGTTAATTTAGGACAACTTGCCCGATTGGGAGTCAACAGCCATGTCTCAAAGTCTATGTTAAAGTGATGCATGCGTGTGTGTGTGTGTGTGTATCCCACCATTTGTTTCTCTTGTTTCTCCAGCGCTGCTCTGTCTCTGGTGATCTGTCTCTGGGTGCCACGCAACTCTCTCGACTGTTCCTTGATGATGTCTTTGGAGGGAGAAGACTTTGTAAAATTTGCAAAACTTGTACATTTATGTCAACATTTTTCTCTACACCAAAAATACAAATACACACTGTATTTTGACAAGAAAGTCGAAGTTGAAACACTTAAACCTCTGCCTTTGTGTTGAGTAAAAACATTAATCCAGCTATGTGGAGTGATGGTAAGACAATTCCGTCTAAAATTTGGCATCTCACATGACTTGCATAGCCCAAATAATGAGAAGCTGACAGCTGAACAGAGAGCACATATTAAGACCAGCTGGAAGAATGTGGAATGCCACCCTTTATTCTGAGTGGTTTTAAGAGCAAACTACCCTCTACACTTTTTTTTTTATTTCTTTATGTTGAGGCATTTCCAACGAGCTACATTAGTAGTGTTGAAAGTTGGACTGTTGAAGATGACAGAAGTTTTCAGCGTGAATGTCTCTACATTTCCTTTTGCAATGCGGTTAGAGAGGGCAGGGTCTAGTTCAGCTGTGTGATAGAAATGTAAAACATCTATTCAGCGAGTGTTTTTGAGTGTGTGCCCACATGCACACAAAATACCACAGGGTTAATAAGCAGCACGTTGAGAGTGCGCTCTGACAACTGTGGAAGTGCTCGGACGACTCAACACTGAGTCAGCTCTGAACCACCCACTCAAACACAAAGTAGCATCACGTGAGATAAAGTATGACCATAAAGTCACACACACAGATTGCCCCACACACCTTCAGGACATCAAGAGAAAAAATACAGCTGCAGTTAAGTCATTTTTAAAACTTTAACACAAAAATACAGCTTCTCTTTAGCCATTAAATAAAAAGATAAAATAGAATACAGAAATACAGAAATAAACAAATGAATCAAGCCAGGTAAAGTCAGTTTTATCTATATACCTCAAAATTATAAATAATATTAAAATAGTGTAAAATATAAAAATACTAAAAACAGTATAAAATATATTTTTAAATGGTTAAATTGTGCACAGTATTTATCACCCTCTATCCTTTGACTCTCACTTCAAATAATAGGAACTAACCCCCCCAAAAACTTCTAAGGTGGGGAAAAAAAAGAATAAACCTCAGAAAGACCGACAGAGGAGGGATCTCCTTCAGGATGGACAGACACTAGATGTGTTAATAAATCCGGAAAATGCACAGAGTTAACTGTTATGTTGGAAAAAAGAAATACAAATTAAATGACTGATTAACATATTTCTAACTGATTCAGCTCCATTTATAAGCTGCTATATAATAGAAAATATTCTTTATGGAATAAAAAAAGCAACCATTGGCAAAAAAGAATCCAATCATCAACTTGGTCAAGACACGTCAGTGCGTTGGACCACTTGCGAGAACGATACTCTTGTACGTATAAGGTGACGTGCCACCAACGTCTCAAAGTGGGTGGGATATCGCCCTACAAATATGTGCGATCTAACCAACCCCCCCCTCTCCATTCACCAAATATCAAGAAACCACTTCAACCAACTCAACGAAGGCAACTGTGGGAAAAAAATACCACGTCCAGAGAGCGCGGGATGAGAGAAATTAAGGAGCATGAGAGGATGGAGACTACGAAGTGTCAAAGCTGAGGAGACTTGGCAGTGGCTTGGCGTGGAGGGGGAGATAACGCAGCACAGTGAGTACAGTATGCAGATGATCGACGTGAGTGAAACTGGGAGGACAATGATGGGAGGAGTGCGAGGAGGCTGCGGTGTGAAAGATTTGCCTTTACCTACAGATCCTATTATTACATCCGCCAATAATATACTTTGATATTGAGTGTTTATGAATCATCCACATAAATGAGTTCCAGTGGGGCCCAGAGGAGGTGAAGTTCACCCTGTCCTCCATGTGGAACTCCAGCCCTATGATGACTGTAATCAGTGTTGGAAAGAGAATAATTGATTCATTAAATTTGATAAAAGACAGGCGAGGGCTTTCCCTTTTTGACCTTGTGGGGCTGATTATTTAGCCTGGAGGAAAAACTCCTGAAATGTTTAGATTGAGAGGGTTTTTAGAAATGTGACACCTCCACATTACTGACTAAAATAGGCACATCCAACTATTAAGACAGCATGACAAACTTCCCCATAGCGTGACACGATTAGTTCACACCATTTGCGATTTAACTAAGTGGTATTTCTTCCACAACACAGCAAGGCAGTTGTTTTAGGGTTTAAAAAATGGACAGTAGTGAAGCTTATTTACAATATTTCTAAGAAAAAGCTGAGGAAGGAAGAGAAGGAAATGGGTTGATCCAAATCTATTGCAGATCATTGATAAAATATGAAGTTAAAACTAAAGTTACACCTGCTTATACCTCTTTAACAAGACGTATATAAAGATTTTACATACAATAAACGACAATAGGAGCTAATGCTTCACATTTCTGCTTAGTCACTGAAAACAATAACTTCACCTCAGCTCTAACGAAGCAAATAAACACATAGCTTCTTCCTATGTGTGGATTTAACGCTAAAAGAGCTAATGCAGCAACATTCCTGCTTGGACTAACACTGCAATCCACCATTATACAACAAGTTCATGTTCCCCTCAGCTCCATGTTGTAGTTTCCCCCTCAGCCCTGAGCAGTGACACTGAGGCACAACTGGTTGAACGGGTTTGAACGTGGAATGCTAATTTGAGATGGAACAACAGAACCGGGGCTAAAAACAAGTTAGCTAGCTTCATGTTCCCACACACAGCAAACTTACCGTCGACAGTTTTCTTCTTGAAAAGAGAGGCCATGTCTCCGCTTCGTGTCGACTTTAAACACTAAATGTAAACTCCCGTGTTGGTGACACCGTGTTGTTCCTGACGCTGTCGCCGCCGTTGAGCCGTCAGACCGGGACAGTGGCTCTCAGCTGCTCAGCCTCTGTTTCCTGGTTCTCTCTGGTTCCTGCTTCACCGCCGAGGCAGCGGCTCAGTGTGACGTCACGGCGGGACTCTCCGGCCCCCTTCATTGTGGCTCGTAAAAACAAGTCTCGCCTCAAGAGGAAATACTTCTCGTGTGTTTTTTTCATTATCACACAAAATGTCTATTTACTTGTCCTTGTTAAATATACAATGCCTGTGTGAAGTACGTGTGTGCATGTTTATTGATGATGGGGAGGTCTAACACGTTTGAAACAAAGCAAAAATATTTACAACAAAAGAAAACACATGTGCAGGTTATACAACATTTTGTTTAGTTGTACAACCAAAGAAATGCATTGCACAGGTATACTATATATATATATATTGAAATAATTGAAATAATATTGAAATGAAATGCCAGAATGTAATTAAAAATTTTAATTCAGACAATAACGACTTTGATTTTGTATGATACATTTTAATTACACAAATTTACGATATGCACAAATTATCCCCAACTCCACTGAAGATTGAAGATTTTTTTAAGACCCTAAGGTTCAAAAAACTATATTCAATAATCTCTTTGAGTAGGGATAATATATTTCTATCTTCTTTTCACTATTTTGTCTTCTATTCTCATTGCTATTGTAATAGGTCTTGTTACTTAAATATCAAAATGTAAATTAAATTTAAATTGCATCTGCCTGTAAGTAGAGAGTACACATCTGTTGTTTCGTAAATTTGTATTACCTTTATAAAGTGGATGGATGTCTGATAAATATCTTGTGTATTGCAATCTGTGGTTATGATATTTCAAACCAATTGATGCTCTAATGGTCCATACAAGAAAACATATTATAATGTAGTCATCAGCAAGACATTGCTGTATACCCTGTAAAAATGAATACATGTAAATTTGTATCAATTAAATATAACAGAGACGTAAGTCCACTATTTTGAGTTATTAGTGTATATTAAACATAAGTTGCAATATTTCTTACGGCCAGTGAATGCAGCATAAAGGCAAAAACCCAGTTGGAAAACTGTTCATTAGAAACAAATAATTATTTATTTATGATTAATGATGAGGTAAAGCATGTCAATGAAGTCATGTTGACACATGTGGGGTCACATAACAGTTTGCATGAATTTTACTTCTCACATTTACATGATATTTGATAAAACTGATGTTTTAATTGGTTTTCCCTTTGTTCCTTTTCGTCTTTCAAGTAGATTTTTGTGCCTGTGTGCATGTGTTAGCAGCAGATACAATGGGCGCCACACACAAATATGTAAACTATCATGAGAAAAAAATTCGCAGAGGGAAACACTGCCTATAAAATCATCCCCATGGCTTCTCAAAGCATCATAAATTCTGTTCTCAATTTTATTCCTTGCCTGTTTAACCCGACATGAGAGCGGCAGCTTGTATTCATATATTCCTATTGTTTTATTTCATATTGATGATGAGAGCAACTTTGTGTGGGGTGGTGGTGGGACTCCTGAACCATAACCAACTCAATTTGGTGCATGTGTGTGTCACATGTGGGGGTGGGGGTGGTGGGAGGCAATAGAGAAGATGATGGGTCTCAGCTCAGACATAGTGAAAGATGCCAAGTTAGGGATGGAGCAGAGTAGAGGAGAGGAGAGAGGGGTGACTTTCAGGAGGAGGAGAGGAGGATGGGTAGCCCTCAGCTCTTTTTCTCTATCTCCGAGGAGGTGTGTGTGTGTATGTGTGTGTGTGTGTGTGTTCACGTGCGCGCCCAGACTCTCGCCCGTATGCATCGGCATGTCGTCCTGAGGCGTTGTTCTTGTTAAGGTTATTAGGGAAGATGTCTGGCGCTAATCAGTGGAGGGCTACAGGGACCCCCACTAAACGGCCTCATCATCAGAGGACCCCAGTGGTGATAAATCCAGCCCCAAGCACCCAGAGGGCCTGTAGGTACAGAGCCTGTTATCTGTCTCTGTTTTCACTGGTACATTGTAACAACATGTAAATCAATACTCACGTTAGGGTTAGGGCATTTTACTATATCTGATATGTGTATTGGAGTTTGAGCAATACATGGTAGAATTTATCAGGTAAAGATTTGTTATATATGTTTAAGGGGCTTCTCCAATCCAAGTAGCGACATATTTTGTATTAGTAAGTGCAATGCAGGAAAGTTAATGATATATTACAATAAAATTGTTAAGAAATCTTTCTCTATCACTGTCTCCGCTTCTTCCTCCACTTTCTGCAGCTATCAGTCTCTTCTATTCTCCTCCTCTGTCTGTGATCTAGCCCGGGGCAAGCAGACGTGTTATGTTAGGGCACTAACTACAGAGTGTATGGACACACACACACACACACACACACACGCACAGAGTAGCAGAGAGAGCGAGACACTCAAGTGTGAAATGAGATCTCTGCACAATCAGTGGGAGTCACTGCCATAAAGCACTTCCAGCTTTTCAGCTCTAAGGTACCATTGAACAAATCGTACAAATCCTCGCACTAGATGATCGTAAAGTTGCTGTGTTCTGGTAACATGGGTGTTTTTTCTCTCCTCTTCACAGATGAACCCATTCATGGACATCAAAAACTGAGTGATGGGTCAACCTTCTTCTCTTCTTTTTTTTCTCTGAAAAGACATTTTTGCACCAAATAAAAATAAATAAAAAAATAATTCTTCCTCACACAAACCAAACAATTGTAAGAGTTCCTTGTAATAAATTGTAATTTTGACACCTAAATTATTGTACCACATAAACTCTCACACAGGAACCACCTAATAACTTCTACTCCACTGTGTCCTGACAAACTGCAGCGTCTCATTGGAAATGACGACTTTATATCCATAATAACGACAGACATCATTTTTACAGTAACACAGGGCCAATATCTTCCACACTCAAACCATGAATTCTTTTTTGTTATCTGTAATAGCATTTTTGACAAACCACCCTCAGGCCTCTGCAGGTTGTGTATCTCATTCCCATATTTATAAAGCATAAATCGATATAAGCTTCAACTGTGTGCTGCATTCTTCTCTGTGCCACTGACACATAAAGAGGCTGAAAAATGTTTGTATGCAAACGCAGAGCGACAAGGATCCGTGATGGGAGGCACGGGATTTCAACTACTCTCCTTTCTCTGTGATGGATGGATACTTCACTGCTGCCCAGATGGAGAGAGGTAGATGTGGGGAGGACACGAGCTGTATCAGGGGGATAATAGACAGAGGAAGATCGAGGGCAAAATCACAGGAAAGACGCAGGGGGAAAAAGAAAGAAGATAAGGGAGATGAGGGACAGTGAGTACAAAGTTTACAGGGTCACAGATCAATCATCTCTATCAAACTTCTAACTCCACAAATGTCTGTCTGTCTGTATATGTCTCACATATCTTGAGAACCACTTATCTTATTGGCTTCATTATTATATTCCTGTATTCTTAACAGCCCGAGGAAGTGCAGTGTTAAATTTGGCACAACATGGACATGCAATGCATTCAATATCAATATAATTTGAATAAACAGGCAACCAGTGCTTTGTAGCAGTGAGTGGGGGTGGGGCAGTGTGCTCTCAGTCTCTGGACTGAGTTGAACATGTCTTCTTCTTCGTCCTTTGATAAACTACTACAGCGGGCGGCAATATTTTATATTGATCTGAATCAAAGAGCTTTTATTATGAAGATTGTTTTGATTTTTTAACAGACTCTAAAGTCAGCATGCAAAGTATGAAAAAATAACACCATTTAAGCAAATCATTTACATATATAAAAATGCATGTGAACAGAAAAAAGCTAATTCAGCTTCGTTTTATGAAAAACATTGACTATAAAATATTCATTGCAGATAAACCAGGTAGAATGAACACAATGTTTTCTAACTTTACTCTGCACCATAGACGTTTTATAAAAAGCTCTGCACACAACGTCCAGCAATGGACAATAAAAAAGTACATATTGTAGAAAATAGAAGATAGTTTGAGGAGGACTCACTAATGACAAGGAATAGTTGTGAAGTATTTTTGGGCACTGTCACTGTAATGAGAGGATTTATTTATGCGTTTCTGTTATTGTTTCTTGTCATGAAATGTGACTTTTTATTTGCTTTCTTTGTTCAGAAGTTGGATGTAGAGATTGATACCGCTCTCATGAGTACAGCAGTAGTAACGAGTAAGTACTGGAGTGGATTTAGGACATGTGGAAGACGACGGGAGATGCAGGAAGACAGGGTGATCGCAGCGGGGGAGGCAGGGGGTGTTTGGGATGGTCTAATAAATCGAGTGAGTGACTCCACTCATTTCTGCCCATGGGACAAATGTAGTCGCGCTCACCGGCGCAGTGCAGCACCAGGGAATTGCAGGGTAATGAGAGCTTATTCTCCCCTGTAGTGTTTGTTCATCATCATTGCCAGCCCCCCCCCCCCCCCCCCCCCCCCCCCCCCCCCCCCCTCTCACAAGGCACACACACACACACACACACACACACACATGCACCTACATAGAAGCATGCAGATGCAGCATTTAGATGCTGGTGTGGAGTTTTACATGAGCCTGTGCAGACAGTGACACACACACTAATGTTGCAGAGGTGCTGTTGGTTTTGTGAGTAAGGTCAAACAGCGAGGTGTTATTGCTTAAATCTGCTGCTGGCGCCAATTTTGGATGTCACACTCAGCAAGCCACACACATGTGCACGGATCAATGACACCCTCTTTTATCCACAGGTTCTTTTAGCCTGAGGAGGCCAATCTGTCTGAGGGTAGATCCTACATGCAACCAACCACATCCCCCCTCCACTCTCTCTCTCTCTCTTCTGTCTCTGCAGTCCGCAGTCCGTCCTCCTAGCCTCGGGGCCGGGCTGTGACCACGAGAAGTAGGCTGGTGGTCCCAGCAGGAGCTGAAGCTCAGACACACCATTAGCATGAGGGAATTAGAGTCATTATGAGAGGAAGGGCAAAGGAGGACGAGTCCTTCCCTCGATCTGCAGAGGAGGTTTGGGAAGTTGTGTGAGAAGAAAAGAGACAAAGTAGGAAGAGTTGTTTATCATGCATGTACTCACAGATTGTACATGTGGTAGTATTGTGACTAGTCAGTACTTCTAATGCTACAT